CCGTTGTAAGCCATATAAGAAGGTCAGTGACAACTGTATTCTATGGTAATTGTGTATGGGTTCCGAGGACTAGGATATTATGTACAGTACTGTACATCGATAATTGGAAAATCGATAAGGAAGTATGTAAACAAAACGAGTGGGAAGTTTAAGGTAAATTTCAGGTTGTTTTCTACTCAAAGAAAGAAGAAGCGCTATCATTACGAATGTTATCCTGCGTAGGTGTGAGAGGTACCAGATGACTCCTTCAAATAAGTTATCACTCTGTGGACAAGAGAATGAATACACCCTAGAATTAATAAATGAGTATCATATACACCTGATGTTTCCGGGTGTCTTTTGTAACGAGTGATGGACCTAACCTCTCTAAAGCCTCACACTTGATGGATGTTACTGGAGAACTAGAGTCTATGAAAACATCTACGATATGAACCCGACCACAGGCTCTAGCATAAGGACCACCTGAGGTATGCAGTATGAAGCAAAATAGAGAGCAATAACACAGTCAGGTTCCTCGAACGAACAGTTAAAAGAGGCTGTGAATGAGTCTGAAAAGGGATCTTTGGCGGTAAGCTGATCCAACTTCCAGCAGGTGTGACTGTTGCTGTTGCAGGTTCGTCTGGTGTTGTCCTCTCCAACGGCCTAGAGCTTGGTGTGAACCCATTCGGATCGCTACGCCTGAAACTCACCTCAAATGTGACTGGTGCTGCTACTGAATATTCTGGTAAAGTCTTCTCCCACGGCAAGAACATTCAGCCCAGTTAAACATCTTCAAGAGTAAACCATTGCTGGCGACGAGTATTCACTCATCACAAAAAATATGTATTAATCTGTAATTCTTCTGTACAATACTTGTAAAATGCACGGTCATGGTACTTTTTTATCAGTAATAAGTCGAGTATATTTTAATTGTGGAATTAAGAAAATTATTATACAAATTTGTAAATTCCATGCCTTAACATAGTGGCAGCATGAATATCGTTTTAGGATGGCAGTTCAGTGGTCCCGGATTCTAATGGAAGAACTAATATAAGATTTATGGCTTGTGTGAGCCTTTGTCAATACTACGGCCACATTACTAACAATTTATCATGTACACCCAATTGGTTCACAAACATCCAGTCTACGGGAAGAGGTAGAACTATCATCTTTCAACCTCTGTGGTACGTGTTGCCCAGCCAATGAGCACCCGGTAAGTTGGGCTTGAGTATTACTTACTTCATCAGGACACACCCCCACTATACCTCTTCTAGTCCATTATGAAAAAAAATAATTTCACTAACTCGGTGCATTTAAAGGTTGAACGAACTTACAAGACTACCAACCAATACTTCATAAAATCAGTGTTTAATGTAAAAAAAAAAAAAAACTATAATAAACATTGTCTCAAATTATATATGCAGACAAGTTCTTCAGCAGATTACAAGCCAAAAAACCTGATAGCACAGGAAAAAAAATCTCATTCTAACAGTCTTCAGTCTTACCGGATTTACCTTCTTAAATAACCTTTAGGACCTGATTGTATTTATTTTGCCTCTACCGTATATTAATTATTTAAATAATATAACCAAGCTAATTAGAATTTACATTTTATTACCAATGCACTTTATTATTTGATCACCACATATTTGTTTTGTTCTCAGATAAAAACGTTTATTACAAAATTGGAAGTAGGAAGTCAATTTAATTCCATTTTAAAATTTTCTTACTTCTTTAACTTTTAGTACTTCTTGAAACTAAAACATGCTTGCTTAAAACAGGCCGAAATCGTTGAGAGTGGAGAGCTATTATCACCAACCGTCAGGAACCTCTGCTTAGTGGCAACACTACGTTGAAGGGAAACGTAAAATATTGGACAAGTATCCCAGAGATCTTCTTTATACTATCTACTGTTGGATAGCGTGGCAAGTGCAGTCATCTCCTGCCCTGTCTTATTACAGCTCCACACATTCCTAGACACTGACACCTCTCAGCCACACACTTCCTTATAATAACATCCTGTCCCAAGGGTGGCAGTACGGTACGATACGAAATTTTTGGGCCGTACGTACGGAACGCAACGGTACGGTACGAAAGTATAGTATGTTTTCCGTACTGTATCGCATCTTTTCCTGTACCAACATATTTGCCGAAAGACTTAAAATTATGGACGTTATCGTATATTATAGAAGGACACTGTATTGTATCCTTGGAATTACAGTTTTAATATTTTTATTGGTATTGATTCTTTTATGAATATAAGTTTTTAATTTATTAAAACAAAAAAAATTGTAAAGGAATTCTAGAGATGTTTTTTATTTATTTTGTTTTACTCTGATGCAGTTTTATTTTGGTGATCACTAGCTTGTACAAAGTAGTCAGTCACCACACAGCAGTCACATTGACAAGGACGACCTTCTCGAACTGGAAACATATCAACCTTCATTATTTCTGAATATCTGTGGAACACCTTTTATGTTAAGTTGGTGAGTATACCCTGCTTATTTATGGTAACCGGTGACTCAACAGTTATTCACATATGACTAGAGCGTTTATTACAAACCACTTGAGTTATTCATTACTGAGTAGGTATTTTTAGAATTGGTCATAGACGTGTACATAAGGTGTTGGTGAACCTGCTTGCAAGTTACTTGTCAACTTAGATCATCATCAAAGAGACCGATACGGTCTTGTCGACATCCCCTCTGTGATATGACAGTGAGGTCGAAGTCAACCTGCATGTAATTGGCATCATGGTCTTGGGTCATCCAATCATGTCATATAAATTTACAGTAATAGGGCAGTCTCAAAGTCACTTCAGTTTAAGAGAGACATCATAGTTTGAACTTGTGGATTTACTTCAATGGAAGATCTAAACTCATAAGGTCAGAAACAATCATGTTTTACTTCTAAATGTCATTGTGCTCTCTAAAACTTTAAAATATAGCCCTTTCATTTCATGCAACAAGCTAGCATAAATATAATATTTTATTTCATGTATATTAATAATTACATTTTATGTAAGGAACGTAGATGATTTTGTTATATATCTGAATTTATTCTGTATTGAAGACATATCCATATGTCTGAATAAAGATGAGTACTGTACTCATCCCGGAAGATGTGTGACACGAAAGCGCTTGGCAACTTCGTGTTTTCTTTTTTACTTTGTGATTATCAGCATATACAGTATATGGATCGCGCGCGCTACAGTAATATAATATATATATATATATATATATATATATATATATATATATATATATATATATATATATATATATATATATATATATATATATATATATATATATATATATATATATATATTTTTTTTTTTTTTTTTTTTAGGTACGGTACGGAATTACGGTATAATATTTTCTAGTGCGAATTACGGGAACAAATCCGTACCCATACAGTACTGCCACCCTTGCCTTTCACTTAAACACTTCTTCACTTTATCTTTGTACAAATAAATACATTTCTTGTTATCAAACAATCTTGTCGCTCTTAACTTTCTCTTCACCCTCATATCTATTTATCGTACTTCTTCTCCCACTCTGTTAAAGTTCTTGTTTACACATTCCTTTAGCCATTCCATTTACCTTCATACTCCCAACATGTACACACGCTCTCTAAACATTCTGTATCTGATCATTTTTAACTATTCTCTCTAACTCCAAGTGATTTTACAGTTTTATTTTCTTCTCATTCCATCCCACAAAACAATCCCCAAGAAAAAAAAAAGACATCCAATGGACGCAATACCTAGTAGAGGATAAAGATGGACTATGAAAATTAATAATACTTATATAAATATAAATAACAAAAGTGAAAGAAATAAAAGTAAGAGAAAGAAAATACATAATACTAATAATAGCAATATTCATAATAGTAATATTTATGATACTGTTAATAAGAGGGAGATATTACACAGGATAAATAAGATGATGCAAAAAAAATAAATACATATGTAAATATAAACGTTCAGTTCAGTAAAATATACTGACATTTTTGATCAACAAGAAGGGTAACAGGATCTCTAAAGGCCACAGGGAGTTGTCTTCAAGGTGGCCAATTGGCCTATATAAGAGCTGGTACCGCCGTCGATTACTCAGTCCAAGCTGCAGTAGCCACTTGAGGAGTTCTGTAGACAGGGGATATACCTAAGAACTATGAATATTTTGGTAAGTGAAAAACTGTGATCTTGTATTTGACAAAGATGAAAACTGTAGTATTTTTTTGTGCAGTTTGAAGCAGACATATAGGAACTATGACTTATCAAGGGAATTCTTATCATGTATCATTATTGCTTTAAATTAGAATACTTCAGTCAACTAAAAACAAAACTGTATGTATAATTTCAAAAAAGGTAATTTTCGATGTGAGTACCATGGCTATTTCGTGTCTATATATATTTTTCTACTATTTTTTTTTCAGTTCACATTTGTACATTCCTTTTATTACACGTTTTACCCTCATGGTCCCCACATTCTCTCCTTTATCTCTTACATTGTAAGTTTGTTATAATTCTATTCCACATAAGTCATACGCGTGGATCATTTTAATATTGAGAAGAGAAAGAAGAATGACTTTTCTTAATTAGAGGAATAAATGACAAAACTAATGACAAAATTGATGATAATAATATATTTAACCCATTAAGAGGTTGGGGTTTTTTCAGGTGAAAAAATCGTCTGACCTTAGCCAAAATTCAGTATCTGCGTGCGACAATATTAAGCGTTAATCAAGATAGCCAATACTTATATCATTAATGATAATTGTAATAATGACAATTATAAAACTGATAAAGATAAATGAGAACCAAAATAATAATGCTAAGAATTAAAATTTTAGAGAGAGCATGAAACAATTGCACAAAATAATAGATATTTAGTGAACACAACCGACCAGTAAATCTCAGAATCTGTATGTAAATAAATTGGCAACTCTGATCGTCAACAACGGTAACGAGATCCGTAAAGGCCACAGAGTGGAGTTGTCCTCACTGTGTTCAGTATATAAGAGGTGGCACCGCCGTCGTTTACTCAGTCCAAGCTGCAGTAGCCACTTGAGGAGTTCTGTAGACACAGAGATATACCGACCGACCATGAAGATTCTGGTAAGTAAAATATTAAGAACTTAAGTTTGAGAAAAAAGACAATTGAAGTAAGTTTTGTAATTTGGTAAAGAGTCCAGCAGAGAGTCTGTTGACTGACTGCTGAAGGGAATTTTTATCATTTATTATATTTAGTTAAAATTTCATTTACTAAGTCTATTAGCCGTAATAGGAACTACATTATATATATATATATATATATATATATATATATATATATATATATATATATATATATATATATATATAAAATGTCAAATAAATCGTTTTTATATATATAAGACGAGTAGTTTTCGAAAAAAAAAATATGTAGTGAGCACATAAGTTATTATGCCATTTAAGATAAATGTAAGATTACTCGTAGTAAGCGTGAGTTCATTCTAATTGTTTTTTCATTAAGGTAAATTTCGTTTAGTATTATAAAAAATCAAATCAAACAAAATTAAGTGTTCTTTCAACAGGTAGCCATCACTCTGCTGGCTGTGGGCGCCAGTGCTCAGTATGGGACTTCAGGAATCGTCTATCCCGATGGCATCAACCGACAGCTCACCCAGGCTGAGGCAGACAACATCGTTCTCATCGGTCCAGCAGGTGTAGTTACCAAAGATGGAAAAAACATTCAATTAAATGACCAGGGCGTCCCCACCCATCGTATCAAGCGCCATGTTATCGGAGATTCAGGTATCATCACCAATGATGGTCGGCCGTTCCACCTTCCAGCAGGTGTGTCTGTTCTTCTTCAAGGTCCTTCTGGTATTGTTCTGTCCAACGGCCAGAACATTCAGTTACGCAACAAGCGCGCCATACCACCTCTTGTGGGTGCTTCAGGTATCATCACCCCTAGTGGTAGACTGATCCAACTTCCAGCAGGTGTGACTGTTGCTTCTGCAGGTCCGTCTGGTGCTGTCCTCTCCAACGGCGACAACATTCAGTACGACTAGAGCTTGGTGTGAACCTACCAGCGTCATTACACCTGAGACTCACCTCAAGTGTGACTGGTGCTGCTACTCATAATTTAGGTGGTGTTTTCTCCCACGGCAAGAACATTCAGCCCAGTTAAACATCTTCAAGAATAAACAATTGCTGGCGTGGAGTATCCATTCAACACAAATGGAATATGTATGTAATCTGTAATTCCTCTGTACAATACTTGTAAAATTACCCATTATTATGGTAAAATTTATCAATAAATGTCGGCAATATCAATTTTTTCATTGTAATATAAGAACAACATTATAAAACTTTGTAAAACTCATGCAAAAACATTGTGGCGGGATGATATTAGGATGGCAGTCTCTGGGTCCCGGATCACAAATCCGCATGGAGAAAGTAATATATGATTTATATCCGATCTGAGTCTATCAGTAGTATGGCCTATAACCACTGGTTTGTCATGTACTGTGCACCCAATTGCTTCACAAATATGCGGGGTTACAGAGATAGATAGAAATATTAACTTTGAGACACTGTGATTATTTATTGCCCAACTGATGAGATGGACACCCGAAGTTTGATCATAGATTTCATATCCTAGGCAAGTGTGCTTGAGTATATCACATCAGCAGGACACCCTATATGTACTTTTACTTGTCTATTATGAGAAAAACAATAGTTTTTATTTCAATAACTCAGTGCACTTAGAAGTGAAACAATCTACCAACAAGTCTATCAATTGAATTTTCAGAAAATCTACGTTTAAACTACAAAAAAATGTTGCTGTTAAATAAATATTGGTCAAATAATTATGTATGAAGATAAGTTTCTAGGTAGATTTCGAGAGAAAAACGTGACGACACACAAACATCATTATATCGGTCGTTATTCTAACGCGATTTGGCATCATATGTAACCTTTGCGACCTGATCACGTTCTTTTTTCTACGCCGTATGTGGACTATATGAATGATATAAGTAAGCCAACTTTAATTAAAAGTAACATAATATAAATACATGTCTTTACAAGAGCACTTCGTCATTTGATAATATATTTGTTCTGTATTCATTTAAAGCCGTTTGTAGCAAAATTGCATGTAAGAGGTCAAATTTAAACGTATTTGAACAATTAATTTACGTCCTTATCTTTTGGCAGTTTTCCGGTGCTGTTTGTTAAATCCTTGCTCCTATGATATTATCATTAAGTAACTAGTAATCTCTTAGATATGATATTGTACTGTTAAAGACCAAGCTGGAATAATCATTTTGAGCTTATGTATGTAAAGAAAACTAGTTAACACAAACCATCTTTATTTGGTAGGACTTAAGTACAATATAATAAAGGTTAATCACGCACATAGGCTTTACCGTTTCGTCCGTTAGTAAGCAAATATCCATTAATTTCTCTACCTAAATTTTCGGTATATAATTTCTTCGTTTTCATCCCCCTCAAAATCATTGTCTTTTGTGAAATTAAAATAAACATATAAATAAAAGAGAGCTATGGCGTATAACGTAAGACATGGCATATATCGTAATACCATGACACATAGGAAACATCGAGAGCCGAGGAATTTTGGAAGTTGGTGACATCTTTTTTAATGTCTTGACACATCGCGGGATGAAGATTTTTATTATTATTAATAGTTTTAAATCAGCACAAAGTGTTTAATGTCGTTTCGCATAGTTATATAGTATATTAATAAGAAGGATCTGCAGATGCCATTGAGTAAATAATTATGTGTGAAACCGAATCTTAATCTTACTCATTCAACATGACGAATGGATCAGACCCACTTTTAATGTTTCTTTGCTTTCAGCAGAGTTTCTTTGGATATGAAAACTTTTAGAAAGGAAGAGGCAAAATATTTCACTTATCAACGTTGAACACAGATGTGTTCTGAGTTTTGTTATAAAGTACAATATTAGAGACTGTCCAAGAATGTACGTATCCTTACTTTCGGTACTTGTACAAACTGATAATAATAACTGGAATATTTTGTCCTGTAAAAAAAAAAAAAATCATTGCAGTAATATTATTGCTAGACATCAGTCCACTCACCATCTGTTTAATCTTTCTGCGCATTAATACTTTTGACAGTCCTTAACAAGACACGGTCTATAGTGGTATGTGTTTGGTTTTATTTTGGTATTTTAAAAAAAAATTCTAAAATATTAATATTCGAGGTCTGCGCAGTAGGAACACTATGTTGAAGGAAAAACGTACAATATTGGAAAAGGCACTTAAGAGGACTTTTATATACACTCTTCCTGTCCTGTCTTTCGTCGTATAGGTGCACACATTCCTAGATAGTAACACCTTTTTCACCCATACACTTCTTTATACTAGTATCCCTGACACTAACACATTTCATCACTCTTATCTTTGTACTGCCAAACACATTCTTCTATCAAAGACTCTTCTCTCACTCCTCACTTTATCCTTCCACCCGCGTGTCTATCTATATTTTTCTCCTATTTTTTTCAGTTCACATTTGTACATTCCTTTTATTACACGTTTTACCCTCATGGTCCCCACATTCTCTCCTTTATCTCTTACATTATAAGTTTGTTATAATTCTATTCCACATAAGTCATACGCGTGGATCATTTTAATATTGAGAAAATAAAGAAAAATGTTTTTTCTTAATTAGAGGAAGAAATAACAAAACTAAGGACAAAACTGATGATAATAATACCTGTATATTTAACCCATTAAGAGGTTGGGGTTTTTCTCAGGTGAAAAATTTTTCTGACCTTATCCATAATTCAGTGTCTGCGTGCAACAATATTAAGTGTTAATCAAGATAGCCAATACTAATATCATTAATGATAATTGTAAAATTGCCAATTATAAAACTGATAAAGATAAATAAGAACCAAAATAATAATGCTAAGAGTTAAAATGTTTAAAGAGAGTATTAAACAATTGCACAAAATAATAGATATTTAGCGAACACAACCGACCAGTAAATCTCCGTATCTGTTTGAAAATAAATTGGCAACACTGATCATCAACAACGGCAACGAGATCCGTAAAGGCCACAGAGTGGAGTTGTCCTCACTGTGTTCAGTATATAAGAGGTGGCACCGCCGTCGTTTACTCAGTCCAAGCTGCAGTAGCCACTTGAGGAGTTCTGTAGACACAGAGATATACCGACCGACCATGAAGATTCTGGTAAGTGAAATATTAAGAACTTAAGTTTGAGAAAAAAGACAATTGAAGTAAGTTTTGTAATTTGGTGTAGAGTCCAGCAGAGAGTCTGTTGACTGACTGCTGAAGGGAATTTTTATCATTTATTATATATAGTTAAAATTTCATTTACTAAGTCTATTAGCTGTAATAGGAACTACATTACACACACACACACACACACACACACACACATATATATATATATATATATATATATATATATATATATATATATATATATATATATATATATATATATATATATAATGTCAAATAAATCGTTTTTATATATATAAGATGAGTAGTTTTCGAGAAAAAAAATATGTAGTGAGCACATAAGTTATTATGTCATTTAAGATAAATGTAAGATTACTCGTAGTAAGCGTGAGTTCATTCTAATTGTTTTTCATCAAGGTAAATTTCGTTTAGTATTATAAAAAATCAAATCAAACAAAATTAAGTGTTCTTTCAACAGGTAGCCATCACTCTGCTGGCTGTGGGCGCCAGTGCTCAGTTTGGGACTTCAGGAATCGTCTATCCCGATGGCATCAACCGACAGCTCACCCAGGCTGAGGCAGACAACATCGTTCTCATCGGTCCAGCAGGTGTAGTTACCAAAGATGGAAAAAACATTCAATTAAATGACCAGGGCGTCCCCACCCATCGTATCAAGCGCCATGTTATCGGAGATTCAGGTATCATCACCAATGATGGTCGGCCGTTCCACCTTCCAGCAGGTGTGTCTGTTCTTCTTCAAGGTCCTTCTGGTATTGTTCTGTCCAACGGCCAGAACATTCAGTTACGCAACAAGCGCGCCATACCACCTCTTGTGGGTGCTTCAGGTATCATCACCCCTAGTGGTAGACTGATCCAACTTCCAGCAGGTGTGACTGTTGCTTCTGCAGGTCCGTCTGGTGCTGTCCTCTCCAACGGCGACAACATTCAGTACGTCTAGAGCTTGGTGTGAACCTACCAGCGTCATTACACCTCAGACTCACCTCAAGTGTGACTGGTGCTGCTACTCATAATTTAGGTGGTGTTTTCTCCCACGGCAAGAACATTCAGCCCGGTCCGCTTATCTTCAGGGGTTGGACGATTTGGCAGGTTTCGGCAGGTGGATGTGTGTTTCTGTGGTTTGTCTTGTGCATTGGCGCGGGTGTCGTTGTGCTTGGTAAAATTTGTGTAAATATCGCTTATGTCAATTTTTTTTCATTGTAATACCAAGACAGCATTTGTAAAAGCACATAAAACTCATAAAACATTGTGGGATTGTTGAGATTAGCGTCTGGGTCCGGATACCCCGTCCTCATGGGGCTAACCCTTCCTTGATTTTATATCCGTCTGAGTCTATCAGTGGTATGACTCTGTTGGTTTGTGTGCTGTACTTAATTTGCTTCACAAATAGCAAGGGTTACAGATAGATGATGTGTCTTTGGTTTTTAGCGGTGTGTATTGTCAGCTGATGAGATGGTTTGAAGTTGGATCTTGATTTTCTTGTCTGGGCAGAGTGTGTGGTGTATCATCAGCGTCTGTTGTAGGGGAAAATGGTTTTATTTCCAACTCAGTGCTTGCAGGTGAGAGCGAAGTCTGCCGGCAAGTCTGTCGGTGATTTTTAAGAAAATTTGTTAAACTGCAAAAAGGTAACATTTAAGTAAATGTTGATTAAAATGATTGTGAAGATAAGTTTCTGTTGAATTTTCGAGAAAACTGTTGACACATCATTATATCGGTCGTTATTCTGGCATGATTTGGCATCATATGTATTGTACGACTACAGTCACGTTCTTTTTCTGCGCCGTATGTGGACTATATGAATGATATAAGTAAGCCAACTTTAATTAAAAGTAACATAATATAAATACGTAATATTTACAAGGCATACGTCATTTGATGTATATTTGTTCTTGTTCATTGAAGCCGTTGGCAGAATTGTGAGGGTCGGAAATTTGCTTGAACAATTGATTTTGCGTCCTTGTCTTTGGCGGTTTTCGGTGCTGTTTGTTGCGTCCTTGCTCTGATATTGTCATTAGTAGCTAGTAATCTCTTAGATATGATGTTGTACTGGCCAAGGCCAGCTGGAATGTCATTTTGCAGGCTTGTGTGTAAAAACTGAATTTAACACCAAACCATCTTTGGTAGGACTTAGTACAGCCTGTAAGGTTAATCGCGCAGGCACGTTTTCGTCGTTATTAGCAAATATCATTAATTTCTCTACCTAGGTACGGTATATAATTTCTTCGTTTTCATCCTCAAAATCGTAAGGTAAAATAAACATATAAATAAAGGGAATGTAGCGTATAACGAATTTAGCATATATCGTAATATATGACACGCAAAACATGAGCCGAGAATTTTGGAAGTTGGTGACATCTTTTTGTGTCTTGACATCGCAGGATGATTTTTGTGTATTAATGATTTTTAAATCGCTGAAAGTGTTTGTGTCGTTTCATGGTTGTATGGTGTATTGTAGAGGATCTTGGATGCCTTGTTGGTAAATGGTGTAGGCCAGATCTTGTCTTATAGAACAGCATTGAATGGATCGGGCCCTTTAATGTTTCTTGAGTTTTATTTGGATATAGAAACTTTTTAGAAGGCCAAATACCACTTATCGGCATTGGGCAGATGTTGTTGCAGGTTTTGTTATAAAGTACAACTATTTTTTCAGTTCACATTTGTACATTCCTTTTATTACGTTTTACCCTCATAGTTCCCCATTCTCTCCTTTATCTCTTCATTATAAGTTTATTTATAATTCTATTCCCACATAAGTCATACGCGTGGATCATTTTTAATATTGAAGAAAATAAAAAATGTTTTTTCTTAATTAAGGAAAATAACAAAACTAAGGACAAAACTGATGATAATAATACCTATATTTAACCCATTATTAGAGGTTGGGGGTTTTCTCAGGTGAAAAATTTTTCTGACCTTATCCATAATTCAAAGTGTCTGCAAATGCAACAATAATGAGAGTGTTAATCAAGATAGCCAATACTAATATCGTAATGATAATTGTAAAATTACTTATTATAAAACTGATAAAGATAAATAGAACCAAAATAATATTGCTAAGAGTTAAAATGTTTAAAAGAGAGTATTAAACAATTGCACAAAATAATAGATATTTAGCGAACACAACCGACCAGTAAATCTCCGTATCTGTTTGAGAAAATAAATTGGCAACACTGATCATCAACAAGCAGCAACGAGATCCGTAAAGGCCACAGAGTGGAGTTGTCCTCACTGTGTTCAGTATATAAGAGGTGGCACCGCCGTCGTTTACTCAGTCCAAGCTGCAGTAGCCACTTGAGGAGTTCTGTAGACACAGAGATATACCGACCGACCATGAAGATTCTGGTAAGTGAAATATTAAGAACTTAAGTTTGAGAAAAAAGACAATTGAAATAAGTTTTGTAATTTGGTGTAGAGTCCAGCAGAGAGTCTGTTGACTGACTGCTGAAGGGAATTTTTATCATTTATTATATATAGTTAAAATTTCATTTACTAAGTCTATTAGCTGTAATAGGAACTACATTACACACACACACACACACACACACACACACACATATATATATATATATATATATATATATATATATATATATATATATATATATATATATATATAAAATCGTTTTTATATATATAAGATGAGTAGTTTTTCGAGAAAAAAATATGTAGTGAGCACATAAGTTATTATGTCATTTAAGAATAATGTAAGATTACTCGTAGTAAGCGTGAGTTCATTCATTGTTTTTTCATCAAGAGTGAGGCCCTAGATTTAGTATTATAAAAAATCAAATCAAGCAAATTAAGTGTTCTTTCAACAGGTATACATCACTCTGCTTTGGCTGTGGGCATAGTGCTCAGTTTGGGGACTTCAGGAATCGTCTATCGATGGCATCAACCGACATCACCCAGCTGGGGCAGACAACATCGTTTCTATCCGGTCCAGCAGGTGTAGTTACCAAGATGGAAAAAACAAATTCAATTAAATGACAGATACACCATCGTATCAAGCGCCATGTTATCGGAGATTCAAGTATCATCTTAATGATGGTCGGCGTTTTCCCACCTTCCATGCGGTGTCATCTGTTCTTCTTCAAGGTCATACATTATTTCTGTCCTTGGCCCAGAACATTCAGTTACAACAAGCGCGCCATACCACCTCGCTTAGGTGCTGGGTATCATCTTCAGTGGTAGACTGATCCAACTTCCAGCAGGTGTGACTGTTGCTTCTGCAGGTCCGTCTGGTGCTGTCCTCTCCAACGGCGACAACATTCAGTACGTCTAGAGCTTGGTGTGAACCTACCAGCGTCATTACACCTCAGACTCACCTCAAGTGTGACTGGTGCTGCTACTCATAATTTAGGTGGTGTTTTCTCCCACGGCAAGAACATTCAGCCCAGTTAAACATCTTCAAGAGTGAACAATTGCTGGCGTGGAGTATCCATTCAACACAAATGGAATATGTATTTGATCTGTAATTCCTCTGTACAATACTTGTAAAATTATCCATTATTATGGTAAAATTTATCAATAAATATCGACAATATCAATTTTTTTCATTGTAATATAAGAACAACATTATAAAACTTTGTAAAACTCACGCAAAAACATTGTGGCGGGATGATATTAGGATGGCAGTCTCTGGGTCCCGGATCACAAATCCTCATGGGGAAAGTAATATATGATTTATATCCGATCTGAGTCTATCAGTAGTATGGCCTATAACCACTGGTTTGTCATGTACTGTGCACCCAATTGCTTCACAAATATGCGGGGTTACAGAGATAGATAGAACTATTATCTTTGAGACACTGTGATTATGTATTGTCCAACTGATGAGATGGACACCCGAAGTTGGATCATAGATTTCATATCCTAGGCAAGTGTGCTTGAGTATGTCACATCAGCAGGACACCCTATATGTACTTTTACTTGTCTATTATGAGAAAAACAATAGTTTTTATTTCAATAACTCAGTGCACTTACAAGTGAAACAATCTACCAACAAGTCTATCAATTGATTTTCAGAAAATTTACGTTTAAACTACAAAAAAAAAAGATGCTGTTAAATAAATATTGGTCAAATAATTATGTATGAAGATAAGTTTCTAGGTAGATTTCGAGAGAAAAACGTGACGACACACAAACATCATTATATCGGTCGTTATTCTAACGCGATTTGGCATCATATGTAACCTTTGCGACCTGATCACGTTCTTTTTTCTACGCCGTATGTGGACTATATGAATGATATAAGTAAGCCAACTTTAATTAAAAGTAACATAATATAAATACATGTCTTTACAAGAGCACTTCGTCATTTGATAATATATTTGTTCTGTATTCATTTAAAGCCGTTTGTAGCAAAATTGCATGTAAGAGGTCAAATTTAAACGTATTTGAACAATTAATTTACGTCCTTATCTTTTGGCAGTTTTCCGGTGCTGTTTGTTAAATCCTTGCTCCTATGATATTATCATTAAGTAACTAGTAATCTCTTAGATATGATATTGTACTGTTAAAGACCAAGCTGGAATAATCATTTTGAGCTTATGTATGTAAAGAAAACTAGTTAACACAAACCATCTTTATTTGGTAGGACTTAAGTACAATATAATAAAGGTTAATCACGCACATAGGCTTTACCGTTTCGTCCGTTAGTAAGCAAATATCCATTAATTTCTCTACCTAAATTTTCGGTATATAATTTCTTCGTTTTCATCCCCCTCAAAATCATTGTCTTTTGTGAAATTAAAATAAACATATAAATAAAAGAGAGATATGGCGTATAACGTAAGACATGGCATATATCGTAATACCATGACACATAGGAAACATCGAGAGCCGAGGAATTTTGGAAGTTGGTGACATCTTTTTTAATGTCTTGACACATCGCGGGATGAAGATTTTTATTATTATTAATAGTTTTAAATCAGCACAAAGTGTTTAATGTCGTTTCGCATAGTTATATAGTATATTAATAAGAAGGATCTGCAGATGCCATTGAGTAAATAATTATGTGTGAAACCGAATCTTAATCTTACTCATTCAACATGACGAATGGATCAGACCCACTTTTAATGTTTCTTTGCTTTCAGCAGAGTTTCTTTGGATATGAAAACTTTTAGAAAGGAAGAGGCAAAATATTTCACTTATCAACGTTGAACACAGATGTGTTCTGAGTTTTGTTATAAAGTACAATATTAGAGACTGTCCAAGAATGTACGTATCCTTACTTTCGGTACTTGTACAAACTGATAATAATAACTGGAATATTTTGTCCTGTAAAAAAAAAAAAATCATTGCAGTAATATTATTGCTAGACATCAGTCCACTCACCATCTGTTTTATCTTTCTGCGCATTAATACTTTTGACAGTCCTTAACAAGACACGGTCTATAGTGGTATGTGTTTGGTTTTATTTTGGTATTTTAAAAAAAAATTCTAAAATATTAATATTCGAGGTCTGCGCAGTAGGAACACTATGTTGAAGGAAAAACGTACAATATTGGAAAAGGCACTTAAGAGGACTTTTATATACACTCTTCCTGTCCTGTCTTTCGTCGTATAGGTGCACACATTCCTAGATAGTAACACCTTTTTCACCCATACACTTCTTTATACTAGTATCCCTGACACTAACACATTTCATCATTCTTATCTTTGTACTGCCAAACACATTCTTCTATCAAAGACTCTTCTCTCACTCCTCACTTTATCCTTCCACCCGCGTGTCTATCTATATTTTTCTCCTATTTTTTTCAGTTCACATTTGTACATTCCTTTTATTACACGTTTTACCCTCATGGTCCCCACATTCTCTCCTTTATCTCTTACATTATAAGTTTGTTATAATTCTATTCCACATAAGTCATACGCGTGGATCATTTTAATATTGAGAAAATAAAGAAAAATGTTTTTTCTTAATTAGAGGAAGAAATAACAAAACTAAGGACAAAACTGATGATAATAATACCTGTATATTTAACCCATTAAGAGGTTGGGGTTTTTCTCAGGTGAAAAATTTTTCTGACCTTATCCATAATTCAGTGTCTGCGTGCAACAATATTAAGTGTTAATCAAGATAGCCAATACTAATATCATTAATGATAATTGTAAAATTGCCAATTATAAAACTGATAAAGATAAATAAGAACCAAAATAATAATGCTAAGAGTTAAAATGTTTAAAGAGAGTATTAAACAATTGCACAAAATAATAGATATTTAGCGAACACAACCGACCAGTAAATCTCCGTATCTGTTTGAAAATAAATTGGCAACACTGATCATCAACAACGGCAACGAGATCCGTAAAGGCCACAGAGTGGAGTTGTCCTCACTGTGTTCAGTATATAAGAGGTGGCACCGCCGTCGTTTACTCAGTCCAAGCTGCAGTAGCCACTTGAGGAGTTCTGTAGACACAGAGATATACCGACCGACCATGAAGATTCTGGTAAGTGAAATATTAAGAACTTAAGTTTGAGAAAAAAGACAATTGAAGTAAGTTTTGTAATTTGGTGTAGAGTCCAGCAGAGAGTCTGTTGACTGACTGCTGAAGGGAATTTTTATCATTTATTATATATAGTTAAAATTTCATTTACTAAGTCTATTAGCTGTAATAGGAACTACATTACACACACACACACACACACACACACACACACACACACACACACATATATATATATATATATATATATATATATATATATATATATATATATATATATATATATATATATATAATGTCAAATAAATCGTTTTTATATATATAAGATGAGTAGTTTTCGAGAAAAAAAATATGTAGTGAGCACATAAGTTATTATGTCATTTAAGATAAATGTAAGATTACTCGTAGTAAGCGTGAGTTCATTCTAATTGTTTTTCATCAAGGTAAATTTCGTTTAGTATTATAAAAAATCAAATCAAACAAAATTAAGTGTTCTTTCAACAGGTAGCCATCACTCTGCTGGCTGTGGGCGCCAGTGCTCAGTTTGGGACTTCAGGAATCGTCTATCCCGATGGCATCAACCGACAGCTCACCCAGGCTGAGGCAGACAACATCGTTCTCATCGGTCCAGCAGGTGTAGTTACCAAAGATGGAAAAAACATTCAATTAAATGACCAGGGCGTCCCCACCCATCGTATCAAGCGCCATGTTATCGGAGATTCAGGTATCATCACCAATGATGGTCGGCCGTTCCACCTTCCAGCAGGTGTGTCTGTTCTTCTTCAAGGTCCTTCTGGTATTGTTCTGTCCAACGGCCAGAACATTCAGTTACGCAACAAGCGCGCCATACCACCTCTTGTGGGTGCTTCAGGTATCATCACCCCTAGTGGTAGACTGATCCAACTTCCAGCAGGTGTGACTGTTGCTTCTGCAGGTCCGTCTGGTGCTGTCCTCTCCAACGGCGACAACATTCAGTACGTCTAGAGCTTGGTGTGAACCTACCAGCGTCATTACACCTCAGACTCACCTCAAGTGTGACTGGTGCTGCTACTCATAATTTAGGTGGTGTTTTCTCCCACGGCAAGAACATTCAGCCCAGTTAAACATCTTCAAGAGTGAACAATTGCTGGCGTGGAGTATCCATTCAACACAAATGGAATATGTATTTGATCTGTAATTCCTCTGTACAATACTTGTAAAATTATCCATTATTATGGTAAAATTTATCAATAAATATCGACAATATCAATTTTTTTCATTGTAATATAAGAACAACATTATAAAACTTTGTAAAACTCACGCAAAAACATTGTGGCGGGATGATATTAGGATGGCAGTCTCTGGGTCCCGGATCACAAATCCTCATGGGGAAAGTAATATATGATTTATATCCGATCTGAGTCTATCAGTAGTATGGCCTATAACCACTGGTTTGTCATGTACTGTGCACCCAATTGCTTCACAAATATGCGGGGTTACAGAGATAGATAGAACTATTATCTTTGAGACACTGTGATTATGTATTGTCCAACTGATGAGATGGACACCCGAAGTTGGATCATAGATTTCATATCCTAGGCAAGTGTGCTTGAGTATGTCACATCAGCAGGACACCCTATATGTACTTTTACTTGTCTATTATGAGAAAAACAATAGTTTTTATTTCAATAACTCAGTGCACTTACAAGTGAAACAATCTACCAACAAGTCTATCAATTGATTTTCAGAAAATTTACGTTTAAACTACAAAAAAAAAGATGCTGTTAAATAAATATTGGTCAAATAATTATGTATGAAGATAAGTTTCTAGGTAGATTTCGAGAGAAAAACGTGACGACACACAAACATCATTATATCGGTCGTTATTCTAACGCGATTTGGCATCATATGTAACCTTTGCGACCTGATCACGTTCTTTTTTCTACGCCGTATGTGGACTATATGAATGATATAAGTAAGCCAACTTTAATTAAAAGTAACATAATATAAATACATGTCTTTACAAGAGCACTTCGTCATTTGATAATATATTTGTTCTGTATTCATTTAAAGCCGTTTGTAGCAAAATTGCATGTAAGAGGTCAAATTTAAACGTATTTGAACAATTAATTTACGTCCTTATCTTTTGGCAGTTTTCCGGTGCTGTTTGTTAAATCCTTGCTCCTATGATATTATCATTAAGTAACTAGTAATCTCTTAGATATGATATTGTACTGTTAAAGACCAAGCTGGAATAATCATTTTGAGCTTATGTATGTAAAGAAAACTAGTTAACACAAACCATCTTTATTTGGTAGGACTTAAGTACAATATAATAAAGGTTAATCACGCACATAGGCTTTACCGTTTCGTCCGTTAGTAAGCAAATATCCATTAATTTCTCTACCTAAATTTTCGGTATATAATTTCTTCGTTTTCATCCCCCTCAAAATCATTGTCTTTTGTGAAATTAAAATAAACATATAAATAAAAGAGAGATATGGCGTATAACGTAAGACATGGCATATATCGTAATACCATGACACATAGGAAACATCGAGAGCCGAGGAATTTTGGAAGTTGGTGACATCTTTTTTAATGTCTTGACACATCGCGGGATGAAGATTTTTATTATTATTAATAGTTTTAAATCAGCACAAAGTGTTTAATGTCGTTTCGCATAGTTATATAGTATATTAATAAGAAGGATCTGCAGATGCCATTGAGTAAATAATTATGTGTGAAACCGAATCTTAATCTTACTCATTCAACATGACGAATGGATCAGACCCACTTTTAATGTTTCTTTGCTTTCAGCAGAGTTTCTTTGGATATGAAAACTTTTAGAGCGAAGGAAGAGGCAAAATATTTCACTTTATCAACGTTGAACACAGATGTTCTGAGTTTTGTTATAGCACAATATTAGAGACTGTCCAAGAACAATGTACGTATTCCATTTTCGGTACTTGTACAAACTGATAATATTAACTGGAATATTTTTGTCCTGTAAAAAAATCATTGCAGTAATATTATTGCTAGACATCAGTCCACTCACCATCTGTTTAATCTTTCTGCGCATTAATACTTTTGACAGTCCTTAACAAGACACGGTCTATAGTGGTATGTGTTTGGTTTTATTTTGGTATTTTAAAAAAAAATTCTAAAATATTAATATTCGAGGTCTGCGCAGTAGGAACACTATGTTGAAGGAAAAACGTACAATATTGGAAAAGGCACTTAAGAGGACTTTTATATACACTCTTCCTGTCCTGTCTTTCGTCGTATAGGTGCACACATTCCTAGATAGTAACACCTTTTTCACCCATACACTTCTTTATACTAGTATCCCTGACACTAACACATTTCATCACTCTTATCTTTGTACTGCCAAACACATTCTTCTATCAAAGACTCTTCTCTCACTCCTCACTTTATCCTTCCACCCGCGTGTCTATCTATATTTTTCTCCTATTTTTTTCAGTTCACATTTGTACA